AAGAGGTGCAAGGAACGTGTTAATGTTAAGACAACACTCCACTTAACCACCCTGCGCAAATCGATGCGCCCTAACGAAAGAGTCCGATCTGCTTTGCTGCTGAACCAAAAGAGTCCGATCTGCTTCGCTGCCAAACCAAAAGAGTCCGATCTGCTCCGCTGCCAAACCAAAAGAGTCCGATCTGCTTTCGGCGCTCGTCGACCGCTCCGCATAAACTCTATGATATCTCGAAGCTTGTGTGCGAAAGAGTATATGTTTTAGGTTATACACATTCCTAAAGGACAGGGTAACAGGCTAGTCTTTTTATGTTGCGTACACTGGTAAAACAAGTGTTTAATTTTGCACGTCAATTGACATTTAAGTTCAAGTGTGCATTTTCTCGACACTTTGTGGTGTCTAACTTTGTTATACGTCAATTGGTGTTTAAAATTTCGACACTTCCTAGCTGTACACCGTATGGTTCCCTATTGACAGCATACAACTGTGTGCGCCCAAGTGTGCAGAATTTAAACGTTTACAAAACGTCTAAAATTTGCACTCCACGCAAGTGTGCAACTGGTGCAACTTGAGTTAAACATCATGTAATGTGCAAAATCACAACTTGCACACGTTGGTGTGCAAATATTGCACACTTGTTTTACCAGTGTATATTCAAAATATACGAGGAGTTATAGCCCTCCAAAGATGCCCGACTTTCCAAAGCATCGGACTCTTTTGGTTTGGCAGCCAAGCAGAGCGAACTCTTTTGGTTCAGCAGCAAAGCAGATCGGACTCTTTCGTTAGGGCGCATCGAAATGACCACGCGCGAGGCCTGGTAGTGTAAACAAACGGTACAAACTATGCGTGCGATTCGTACGAAATCAACAGCACGAGGTCTTGTCTCTCCTGCGACTCCGGTCAGCCCTGTTCTTCCTAGTGACGTTTTCGCGTACCGAACGAAACTTTCGTTGACCGTGACGCCTTTTCTTCCGCGCCGCATACGCCAGCCGGATGAGCTTCCCCGCGGCGACGAGGTGGGTCGCCAGGTTTTTACCACCTTTTGTTTGGCCTCGCGCAGCCGCCGCGGGCGAGTGATTGTCTCCATATTGTCACTCTGGGCAGAGATTATGAGAACGTTCTCCAAAATAATACAAAAGAATCGGGCCAAGGTGTCGTACCTAGCGCTGTGGCGAGCCTCTCCCCGCGTATGGCAGGGCGAAGGCCGTTGGACGGCGCGCGGCGCCGGGGCGGGCCGACCCAAGCCGACCTCTGCTGTAAGGCCCTCGCAACGACCAAACTTTCCGCCGGGTGGCTGGGCTGAGCTTGGCGGCCCGTCGTGGCGGACTGCTGCAGCAGGTGCTCCCCTGCCTGCAACGGCTTCATTTCCTCGGCCAAGTTGGCCTGCCTCGCGCGTGCCCAGCAAGCAAGAATTTGCGTGTGACCAGAAGCTTCCTGTGGCCAGGTTGCGTTGCTCTCAAAAACTACGAAGGATTCTAAATTCTGAGCAAATAACTGAACAACGAACGTGTTCCTGTCCGCCTTTATCTTCAGGGCTTCCAGCCGAGGGGGCCACCACATCGATTGAGGATGTACACAGGATTACGTGATTACAGGGATTACACGTGAATTTGGTTGAATTTCAGGCTGTAAAACCATCAAGTTTGGACAAAAAGGTAAAATTACTGATAATGTTTTAAAATTTGGTCAAGGATTACACGGAATAGATAAGCATTACGTAGGGATTACACCCTCGTCTGTCACCTAGAAAAATGTTTTCTTATTTCAAGAACATTTTGACCTAAGATCAATTTTACTCTTGACACAAGATGATATTATCTTTCGTTTAAGAAAATTTTTCTTACTTGAAAGAAAAAATCGTCTTGGTAACAAGAAAAAAAAATAATCTTGGGTCACTTCTAGTACAAATGTACTTGAAACAAGAAATCATTTTTCTGGGTATCCGTAAAAAAAAATATATTTTGTCCACCTCGCATGACGGTAAAAACAATGTTTGATAATTCGAGGAAAAAAAGGGAAAACTTTAAGAAACTCTCAAAATTTGAGGAACTCCTTAGATCTTAAGGAAATCTCAAAATATGTGGTTTGAGCTAGTTTGAGACTACCTTCAGATTTAAGGAGGTTGTTTCTCAAACCACTCAAACATTTCCCCCTTCCTGGAAAAATCAGACATTGGTCTTACCGTAATCAGCGTTGCGTTCACGAAGTATTCACGTCAATTTAGTTACGGACTCGCTCACGGCTCATTTAGAGCAAGCATCAGAAGACATCAGACACCATTTATTATCCAAATTTATTTGAAGTAAATAACACAAATGACCGTTGCCGTACCAAAAAATAATCGCAAGCGAAGCAAGCGCGGAAAAATGAGTTAATGTTTTTGCGCTGAAATTTTGCGAGCGAAGTAACTCAAAATCTTCTGAACCATTGTGGCATCAAAATACCCGTTAGGGTGCCCAAATGTGCTTTCACTTAGATGCCTCATTGGGGCGAAATTTGGCGCAATAGGTGCCCTCGAAGCACCCAAAAAGTGAAAAAAGTGAGTACAGTAAGTCGCTGAAAGCCGCATTTAAGCAAATATTTCAAGAGAACAATGATTGTGGTCCTCCCTCTAAGTCGACCGACTGGTGTTCATGTTCTGTCCCGCGCAGGTCTGCCCCGGGCAGCTACCGCGCCCCCAATGTCCAGCCAATAAATTTATGACACGATAAAAAAACACTGAGGGCAATATAGCCCAGGGCTTGCTTTGTTGTGGCGCAGTTTAGCTCCCTGGTGCCGATTATCGGCAGAGCTGCCTTGGCCAAACAGGGACAGGTGTCGGCAAGTGGTCTTTGATTAGAGAGATGGAATTATCTTTTTACAAATTTAAAATTCTTATTCGAAACTTCACAGAGATTTAAAGACCGTGGACACAATAAATCCTGATGCATTCTGTTGTGCAATTGCTTAAACACGCAGAATTTTATCGAGCTATAATGTTATGCACAATTTTATGCAACAATGTACAGTTTTGGACATAATTATGCACAACTTGTACATAATTGTGCAAAATCTTTGTGTGCATATGTATGGCCATATAAAATTCTGCTTTTTTATGCACAATAAAATGAATAAGGGCTTAGTGTGAAAAGACTTGAGCACACAAAAAGAGAGCTGATGAATTTTACGTCGACTGTTGTCTGTATAACCAAATAATTAGCTGTGTCACCAAGTCATACGCAAAGTAAAATGGCACTACCGCTGCGCTGAACAAGGAGCGCATAAGCCGCCGCGCCCCTCCCACCCTGGCTCTTTTTTCTTCCCCTTTAGGCTTTGGACTCTGGGAATCCTTTCCTTTCGCGTGTCTTCCTACCAAAGGCGGAGTATTTGTGTTAGACTTATCCTTAGTTTCTCTCTTCCTTCCCTTCCGGACCGGAGAGGATTTTCGCCCCCCCCCCCTTTCCCCCACTCCGACTCCCCTTACGCTGCCAAGTTGCCGGGCGTCACCGGGCCGTCGCGCGCGCCGGCCTCGGCTCTGTTCTGCTCCGCTCTAAATCTTTTCGACTCGTCTGGTTTCTTCGCAAAGACCTGGCGCCATTGTGCGCTGTAATGAACTCGGCCCTGATGATTTCCCCTGTTCCATTTCGATGCTGCCTTGAATGGCCGGGCAGCTTCAACCAAACGAGGTTCCGCTATTCGATTTGAGAGGGCCGCGTGGGGTTGGAGTGGAGCGCGCAGCCAAAGCCTAGACAGGTGGCCAGACAGCCAGCAGGCAATCGGCCAGGGTTTTCTCCGTACCCCTACGTGGTTGTCTGCCTGTCCGCCGAAGGCACTCCTGTCCGTCCGTCTGTTCGCCGGCCGGCTAGTGTGTGGCCGTAGCAAGCCTGGCTGGGGCGGGGCCGACCTGCGTGGCTGGACAACGCGCTCTGAATCCCAATGAGCGCCAGACGACCCTCCTACCCAGGGAATGATGGTTTCCTATGGCGTTCGAAAAAAAATGGGGAGGGGGGGAAGAGGGGGTCAGGACAGAAAAAAAAACCTTCACATAGAGAAGAAAAATGGTCGTTACCGCTGAAGCTTTCCCCCCTTGCTATAAATTTTCTGATCCGCTGCTTTCGTGACCAACAGATGTGATCACTCGAAGATAGAACAATCCCTTCATGTTCACGCGAGATTCGAGGGAGGTGTTCCTTTTCTGTCATGCCCTCAACCCTGCTTCCCTCATTACAAGAGGTACAAGAGGAGATCGACCACGACACTGTCCCTGAGCACGGGCTTGACAGTCATGTAGGTTGTCCGACGCATTCCTTTTTCTAAAGATGATACGGCTACTCTCGCCAGCCCCGAGCCATCGTTTTCTTTCGACAGCGGTTGATAGGAACCATCAATAAATCTCGACGTTTTACCCTCCATTACTTTTCATTACGTCCACGGAATATAAGTGACTCGTTTGGACGTGACTGGGGTGTAAGTCGAGCGCAGTATAATCTTTTAAGCACCAGATTGTCAGAGCGCGCTGATCGGGCTGCGCGCTTTGATGGGGACGGGCGCGCTAGCCCCCCTTTCATTTGTTACAAGCGCCCTTGTGTTGGACGGGCGCATCGTGGGCTGAGCGTTGCGAGACACTGTGAGTCTGTCGGCCCAACCTCGAAACAGACGTGAGGCACGTCATTCTGACCTCTGTGTGTCCGCGCGAAACTGCACGGGCTTTGAGGCTGGATCAAGTCTGACCTTTAGAGGACGCGCAGAGCGGCCCGACCCAGGGCCCAGGGCCCAGGCAACGTCCGTCTCGTCTCCCATTTATGTTATACGCCGCAGGCCGCTGACCAGAGATGGGGGACGGGCTGGAAATAATGTGGAGGACTGCTTGTCTCGTTTCCCTCTTGAGGATGCAAACCAAGTGGTTTTAAAGAGGGCAAGGCCCCTTTCGGGGCCCATCATCTTTCCATAACCCCATCCCCGATCTGGACTGCGGTGTCCGCTTTCTTGCCACGCGGCTGATCCAGCGTCGCTTTCTGTTGCAGGGGAGCGTGAGCTTTACGGACCAGGAGAAGAAGCTGCTGGACCTGAGCATCACGACGACGGCGACGGAGCGGCACTCGCAGGGCGCGCCCTCGTCCATCGGGAGCCGGGAAATGCTCGGGTCCTCGCCAGACCTGGAGCTAAGGCCGCTCCCGCTGCCTGACCCACCGCTCCACATCACCATCGAGAGCCACTCGGAGAACATGGCCGTCTTCCCGCCGCCACCAGGTGGGTACCGGCAGGGCCTCGGCGAGCACTGTGTAGAGACATTGGGCGCGGTCCGCTGGCTGAGCGCAGCTGCGCAGCGGGGTGGGCTCCAGCCCCGAGACAAACGGCCGTCGGGGAGCAGGGCCTCCGTTCAGCTCGACTATTCCCTCGGTTTAAGGTGAATACTTGAGCGCGCCCCGGGGTCGGCAATCCACAACCAAAGTCATTGAAGCAGTTATGCCCCCCGGCCCCAGCTCCCGCAGTGGTGGGGGTGGCCTGGACCCCGCCTCAAGAATTTAAATACACACCGGGCGGCATTTAAATTTATCGCCATGACTTTTGGCTGGCCGTTATGCCCGGTTGGGCAAGAAAACGCGTGCAGCGATATTGCGAGGAATTATTGTCGGGCCCTTATTGCGGGCAATGCGGCCGAGGCCGACCAGCTGCGCGCCTCGCCCGCGGCCCCGAGCGGCAATCTCTGCGCAAACACAGCCTCAAAGGCAGGGGGAAAACGTTTGGCCGAGTAGGTGATCAGTCAAACACAACATCGCGGGGGAGAGTAGAGGAGGGGGGGCAGAGGTGGGGCGTGGCCTCTGCTACTGTTCGCCGAATTCAGATACAGTAGTGTTTTATGGCCCGAGTATTTGCATTCGGAATCGCCCCGGGGAGTGCTTCCAGCGGCCCCGTTAAGTACCCACCGTCTACCGTGCCCCCGGCGGCGGCGCGCGACGCGCCGGTATACCGGCACTGTCCCTCAATTATCCAACTTATCGCAGGTACCCGAGCTCCAGCCCGCTGAGAACAGGTTGAGGGGGTAGGCCCTGAATAGTTCTGAACACGACTGGGGAGGAAGTTTTACGTGTTAAACACTATTTTAGTTGATTTGGATGAGGTCCAGGAAGCATTTTGCGCCTGTGTTGGCTTGGGTCTCGTCGGGCACAAAGTACCAGATCTGCGCCCCTGGGCACATCGTCAACTATTTGCGGACGCTTCAGTGTGGGGCTGAGAAGGGAGAGGTGCATAGTGTGTTTGATATGTTTCGAGGCCAGGAGCAGCTTGCTACCCCTGCACTTGACTGACGAGGACTGGGTAAGGAGAGGGAGGGAGTTGAAGCACACCAACTCTGCCTGGGCACTTAGCACGCGCCGCCAGCCCTCGCTCAAACTTGCCCCAGCGAAGCGAATCTGTAAAGAAGGGGGGGGGGAGAAACGCAGAAACTGATAAGCCGCAGGAAACTGCTTGTTACTGCTTTCTGATCACTGACCGGCTGTCTTTTCCTCTGCGCAGAGTTCTCGTCGAGTGTGCTGCCTACGAGCGCGTTCGGCAACATCTTCATCTCGGTGTCGGTGAGCCAGGAGCCGGGCCATCCCGGCAGCCATCCCGGCGGCATGATGAGCGCCGTGCCCGCGGCCCTCAGCGACATCAAGCGCTTCCCGGACCTGCTCGAGTTCCCGCACCGCGCCGTGCTGCCCGCGGGCATGGGGCCAGGGCTGCCGACGGGCATCGTCAAGAGCGTGAGCGTGGCCACGGGCCCGGACCAGCCTTACGTGCCCATGAGCCTGTCGACGCCCAGCCTGGCGTTCGCCACGCTGCCGCGCCGCCATCTCCGTGCCAAGGAGACCGACGTGTCGGTGGGTGGCCGCGCCGTGCCGCACTACGACAACATGGGACCGCGAGTGACCGCCAACGGCAGCTCGACTCTGTCGCTGCCCGACGAGGACCAGCTCGAGGCCACCGTCTGCTCCCGGGCCAACTCGAGGGTCGGGTCCCAGGACTTGCCGCCCCCGCCGCCGCCACCCCACTGCACGTCCATGTCCGAGTACGTGGCGCTGTGAGCCGCGACTGCGAGAGACGATGTGTGTGGATGTGAAAAGAGATGATCGTGTGATGGTGAACTCTTCGGCGTGCTTGCGACTTGAAAGCCTCTGGTCTTGACGGAAGCCTCCGCCACATGTCTGGAGAACGGTCTACTGTCGCGCTGCGCTAGTGATCGCCTGTGCGTTGGTGCTGTGGACGTTTCCGTGTATCGAGATTTTTTTACCCGAGCTCAGTGATAAACGTAGCGTGGTTAACCTCTGCTACATGTTACGATACTTTGAGTGTGTGACCCTTTTAACTTTGCTGGTTTTGTTACTGTTTGCCTAGTTTATCGGGAAGAATAGTGCGATGGGAAATTGTGAAATCTTAGTGAGACACTGGGCATTGTGACTGTAATGTCTTTGAGAGCTGCTCTTTTTAAATATACGTTTGAATCATGCATAATTTACTTTATTTGCACGGTTTTGCAGAATTAGTTGTTTTATTCACCCTACATTTGAGTCTTTTACTGTAATAGTTTCGTTATACTGACAATCAATCTAAAAGCTGGAGTTTTGTTTTTCTTTGTATTCATTGTTGCCGTTAAGACTTGTTGTTGAGTCTCATATTATACTTTTAGCATGTTTGAAACATTATTACACCCACATTTTATCAATGCACCACACAAGCTGCGCGTACACCATGTCTAACGCGCTGAGTTGACATATTGTTGAAGTGCGAATTTTGTCTGCACAGGCTTGTGCAATACGACGCATCCGAGCAACAAAGGCGGATAAAAAAGCGGTCGCTGAACAACGGCGGATCAGAAAGCGGTCGCTGAACAACGACGGATCAGAAAACGGTCGCTGAACATCGACGGATCTGCTTTTTGCTGATCTCTGCATACTTGACTTTGGAGGCCTCTTACTCTCCTTACAGATATCGCATCGTGTTGGGCGTTGTCTCTGTTTATTCACGAGATGATGACAATTAAAATGATGTTTTACTGCAAACGATACAACGTCTCTGCGATGAGCGGGAGGCCTCCAAAGTCAAATATATCGAGATCAGCCAAAAGCAGATCCGTCGTTGTTCAGCGACCGTTTTCTGATCCGTCGATGTTCAGCGACCGCTTTCTGATCCGTCATTGTTCAGCGACCGCTTTTTTATCCGCCTTTGTTGCACGGATGCGTCGAATATCTATACTGCCATGTGGATTGAAGCGTTAATTCTCAATTTTTTTAAAGCCAACAAAATACTTTCGCATTTTGAAACTTTTATTTCACTTTTCTTTTATTATAGCTTGAACCAATTTGATTCTGTGGTCAGTTTTCACAACAATAAATAAATAACTGATCCTTCGATATAAAATGCCCCAAACTGACTTCTGTGTGGCATCTGTTTTATTTACACAGAGGCTCCATATGTGTGCAGCGCAGCTCTCTACGTTAGTAATGCATTTATTTTTGTGTCCTCAGTGTGCCATGTCATTTTATAAGACTAAGTCATCAGAATTCAAAGCGTGACAACTTCGGCAATTTATCATGAAAACTTTAGGTTGATCTGTAATCATTGCATCATAATAAAAGTATTTTCGAAATCTTGGTGATTGAACGTAATGGTCTGCACAAATTTGTATTCTAAAAGAGGTTGAAGAAAGAAATAAATTATAGATAGGAAAATAAATGAGTTGAGTTTTCAATTATATTTCCCCTTCTTTCCAATTTTTTTCCGGATTTGTGCTTGACCTGGTCAGAGGCACGCGAAAAAGTGTTCTGAATCCTTTCATACTTTACTTATAGAAGTATTAATTTTGGTTCCGGCGGGGTAGAGGGGCGAAAGCTCTCTTGAGCTCCGACCAGAGGTACTGGCCCTATGGCAATAGGCTCGCTGGCAGCAGCGACAAATTGTGACGCCGGGAAGCGGAAATGGCGCCATTGCTACGTCCGTGGGAGGCCCTCCGCCGCTCTCGCACAGTCTCATATATCTCTCCCGGGGAACTCATACACCCTCATGGCCTCTCCTTGATGCCCAGCTAAAAGCGCTAAGAAGGGAGCGGCACCAGCAGCGGCGCGGCCCTGAGAACCACTACGACTACTTTGGCCCTACCGGAACCCCCACCCCTAAACCCCACCACCCCGTACCCCCAAACACACTCGTTCACCCGAACCTATACCCTCGCCCACCAAATCTGATGACTCGGGCTCTTCCCTGCTCTGCGGAAAGTACTCGCGACCAAACTGCTGCTAATCTTTTCGAAAGGCGATAAAGTCGGTGGTTGCAGGGCCGCGCCACGCCCAAACTTCCGCCCGCGACCCGCTCCAGGGCCCTCCTTGTCCTCCTCTCGCCCTCACCTCCTCCCTCTGCCCCGGCGACCAAATTGAAAAGCCCTCGACTGGCCGTGCCAAGTAAAGGGGCTGGTTCGGACCCGGGGCTGCTCTCCGCTGCGCTGCGGGGGCATCCCCCCACCCTCACTCGCACCGGCTAAGGTCACAGCGAGGGGTTCGCCGGCACGTTCGGTATTATTGTGCGCTCGCTCTCTTTGCCTGCAGCGGGAGGACCGGTTGACCAACGCAAAGTCACCGCCAAGCTGCCTCACACTGTAAAAAGCTTACAGTGAATTTCACTGTAAGCTACGGCGAACCCCTGCATCACCGTAGCCTACGGTGACATTCACCGTACGTTACGGTGAATATCACCGTAAGCTACGGTGCTGCAGGGGTTCACCGTAGCTTACAGAGAAATTCACTGTAAGCTTATAACAGTGCACGCGACAGTATTGCCTACGGGCGGACGCTGACATACGCAGCGGAGCGAAGATCTCAACTACCTATCCCCCATCCCCACCCCTCTTTCGCTCCAATCAAACAGCAGCGCTAGTGTTACAGAATTTGAAGGGGAAAGGGAGGGAGTGGAGGGGAGAAGGGAAGGGGTAGGGGAGTGCATGTGCTCCTCTGGGGTGGTGCCCGGTGCAGGGTTGGCTTCCAGGCCCTAATGAATTTCCGATGTGCGGAGAATAGGCAGGGACAAGGGACAGGGGTGGGAGTAGAATCTGGGGAAAGGGGGGGAGGGGCAGAGCACCCATCACCGCAAACTCCTCACCTCCTTACGCCCCCCCCCCTTCCCCCCGTCACTTTACGCACGGCAATCGAAATGTCACTCGCAATAAGGGCCTTCACTGTTTACAAGTGCCTATCAATTAATAATTTGTCAGTAATCGGTAATCGGGCTGTATTTAGTCGTATTTTCCCCATTTTTTTTCACAACTCTCCGACCACTGCCCCACGGCCCATTAGAACTGCGGAGGCGCTGGGCGCGGCCTCTGCGACGCGAGCACGGCCGGCGGGCCGGATATGTAATCACCGAGCTCCGATGTCATTAAAACAAATTGAAAAGAGGCCCCGCCGCGCCGCCGCGCAGAGATACAGTTACGGGCCGTACCGGGCGGGTATGAATAATCGAGGCAGCCAGGCATTGTAGGGCCGGAGGGGGAGGCCGCCAGCCCCTCAGCCCCACGCAGGAGAGAGGGGGGATTTGCAAATCACAGTGCTCTACCCCCCGCTCCCACCTCGACCTGTTTCCGGCGACGACGCGCGGGCGCGGCCTGAGACAATGTGAACCTCGGTGACCGTTTTCCGGGACGACGACGACTATACCCTGACGAAGGTCAATCCAAGCCTAAAGTGGAACCGCAGCGACGCACTCGGGGAGCGAGCGAGCGACGCGCGCGGGGGGAGGACTCTCCTGCTGGTAACGACGCGGGATCAGAGAACAACGGGATCTGAAGAAAATTAGGAAAACGAACCCAAAGCCAGCTGCATGGGTCTTGGAACAGCGCGGTCGCGGGAGTGGATTTGGGGGTGGGGATGGGAGGATTAAAGGGGGTGACCGGAGAGGGGGAGGGGGATAGAAAGGAGACTAGAAATAAATGGTGACGTCTTCATTGGAGGGGTCGTGCCTCGGCCCAGGCGCGTTACTTCCGCAAGATTACGCTTTCACAAAGCTGCCAAGCCGCGGGAGCTCACCCCTCTCGGCTCCGCTCGGCGCGGCCCCGGCACTGAGGTGGCCCGCTGTCTGCGCATAGGGTTAAACACCGCTCACCTGCGCCCCGAGGTCATACTGCCAGAGACGAAGTCCCACGATGGGGCCACACAGGGTGTCGTGGTGGCACACGCCCCGATATCGACATATATGCCTAATGTAATTTCGCAGAATTCTACTTTGACGAGTAGCATGCCCTCGTAGGGCAGTTGCATAGCACGGGAGAGCTTGACACTAGGGTGGATCGACTATTTGGGACGGGACGAAAATAGCCAACATAGAATCAAGTTTTTCGAGGTAGCCCAAGATGCCCAAGATAAGCTGAAGGCTCATTTTTGGCCTCATCGACAGCCGTTGTACTCCCCAAAAGGGGTCGAAGTTAGACCCTAAGACCTCCCCACTCAGTAAAGGAAGAACTAGACTTTCAGTCCTAGGACGAATGGTAAACTGTCCTCCGTTTGAATTCAGAAACTAACGGTACGGCTAGGCTACTACCGTGTCCCTTTTTAATCCTTACTTTTTCGCGAATTTTCATTTTCATACCTGCAGTCTGAATTTTCAGATTTAAGGGTATAAAAGGGCACCGCTGAGAATTCAGACCAGAGTGCAGACTGAACTTTCCGATTACCTGGTCTGTACAAAAACTTCAGACTAAAATTAATGAAAATTCCGTAGAACTTTTTTTACAGTGCTATCTTACATAATTGTTTCAAAACCTGAGTGCATCAGTATAGCGAAGATATATAAAAATATGATCCTAAATAGGTTAAGTCGCTCTTAAAAATCCGCATTGACACTAAAATGTCCACGTGAAAAAAGTCAAAATTCAGACGGATACGCATAGATATATAGATTCGTGAAAACTCCAGATAAATTTCCCCAGAGCGCTAAACGTGGCCCAATATCCCCCTGCGTGTCGCGTGCTTTTCCGACACCAAACTAACGTCCCCCGACTTATGTTTGGCATACCCAAATTAACCACGACTTGCAACAACCAAAACTACAACTGAGATTTTTGGACCAAGCACAATGTAGCGGATATTTGATTTTTCAAGTGCATATCACTTAAATCAAGTCACCGACGGCCGACGGAAACCATCGGGGACCTTCCCGTAAAGCAGGACGCGGAGAGCAGGAGGAGATCGCGTTTCACACCGCAGACGGGGGCGGTACAAGGCAGGGCCCACCAGGTACAAGACGAGCCGGGGGCTTGCATCGCAGGGCGAGTGGACGTGTGAAGAGTGCGCATGACGTGACACAAGCTACGAGGTTTGCGGAGAAGACAAAAGGGCATCGAAAACGAGTTATGCTATGTTACCATCACTCACCACTTGAGGAGTTTCTCGGACTGCTCCGAACATAGGCAGGGAACTTCTGAACATTTACTGTCAGTTTGGGAGGGGCACTTTGCAGGTCCTTTCATTAATGTGCCGAGTAGCCCACTGCACTTCTAAGCCCGTAACTTCTAAAGGGTATAGAGCTGTAAAGATCATCAGAAAAATTGGCTGCCTCACGAGATATTTGGTAAAAACTTCACCGTAATTTTACGACGGAAACACAAAGGTCACAAAACATTCCTTCAGTCCTATAATTTTCTACTATCTTCTTTTAAATGAGGATAATTTTCGCTACAAAATAGGAAAAGAATCATAGTTTTGGCCGACCACCCTGGAGACCTCGATCTGAACCGCCCGTGAAACCGTTGTCATATGTGGCACATGTGAGTCCCAGGTATGTTTCATACATGTACACCATACGAAACATATGATACTTGTATGTCGC